ATGTAAATTCGGCGCTGTAAATTCTAAATTTGTTTCTTAAAGAAGTATAGAGTTTGCAAGTTAATGACTGTTTACTTCTATTTGTGAGATAGGCAGTTGCCGTCCATTCAACTTAGTTTCGTCATGAATACTTTGCCTAAACAGTCTATCAAAGAATGCTTAAAGAGCTGTTATGGACCAGCCTCTAGCAAGAAGATCAACAACTACAATAAGAACCTTATCAAGCTTACACACTGCTCTAATCACTTGACCTTCCTACTAAGTTGGCCCCCAGTGGCACAGTGGTATGTCTGCGGACTTACAACGCTAGAATCCGGGTTTCAACACCCGTGATGGGCAGAGCACAGATAGCCCATTGTGTAGTTTTGTGCTTAATTACAAACGAACAAAAACAATTCTACTAAGTTGCAGAGTTTCGAACATTATCCTGAACTTTCCGATACTCATATGAACTACTTTCGCCACAACTACAAAGAGAAAAAAGTTCTCGACAATATTAGCAGGCACCTTCTAAGATTATATATAGAAGAACATGGACGAAAGAAGCACTATCTAACCAAGACAACTGGAACACAATATGCTGAGCTTCAACAACTTTTCACCACAAATACTAGAGTATTGGACATCTTAAACCTTTACACCAAAAGGTATACATCCGACTTTGAAAAAATCAAGAAGGAACAAGTCTAAAGACTAAGACTAAGACTACAAACATAGTTCACAATTAAAGTTCGAGATTACTAAGTGATACAGAAAATAAGATTCTCAACCTAGGTCTAAACTTCGCCATACAACCTAACATAGTTCCAACTGTTGACATAGCCGCACTTTCAGAATCTGCTGCACAAAACCTCCCGAAACCTATGGCTGAACAATTCCGACATCAGACTTACACAATCCTTAGGAAGGCCAATAAACCGAAACCGAACATCACTAAACAGGAATACGGGACAACACTATTAAGATTCTACCATTAGACAAAGGAAACAGTAGAGTCATCCTAGACATCAAAGATTATGACTCGAAGATCAAACAGTTACTAGACAAACACCAATACAAGAAGATCACCCTACAGAAAAGACAGTTTGTTTATAGCTAAGCACAAAGCTACACAATGGGCCATCCGGGTTCTAGCATTGAAGGTCCGCATACATACCGCTGTGCCACTTGGGGGAGGAGAGGCGACGACTAATCTCTACCTTCTCGTCTCACAACTTTCTCGGGATGCTTCACAATTTTTAACTAGTTAGTCTGTTTGTAGTAATCACCTTGTTAAGTAATAATCAATAAATCAATGCTTAAATTATTTCAAGCGATTCGGTATGCATCATATCCGCTATGTAGTTTTAATATATTTTATTCCCTGTGGGACCAAACCTATGTCAACAGAAACAACAGTTTCTGAGCGCCCCAGGTTGTCTCTTATGATTCAAGACCTGATTTACTGCCAAGTTTAGTTAGTTAGTTACACACTGATCTTGAAGCTCTAAAAGTCATGAAAAAGTTATTCTTGAAATGAAGAAGAGAGAATCTGTTGAGAATGACAATCAAATGAAAGAAGTTCCTAAAGTTTGTTTGTTATGCATTTTGCGCAAAGCTACACGATGGCTATTTGCGCCAGCTGTCCCTAATTTAGCATTGAAGGACTAGAGGGAAGGCAGCTAGTCATCACCACCCACCGCCAACTCTTGGGCTACTCTTTTACCAACGAACAGTGGGATTTAACGCACATTATAACGCCCCACGGCTGAAAGGACAAGCATGTTTGGTATGATGGGGATTCAAACCCGCGACCCGCAGATTGCGAATCGAGCACCCTAAGCACCTGGCCATGCCGGTTCCTAAAGATGTATATGATCTTACTAGAGAGCTTCCATTATTTGTTACCATATATTTACAAGACATGGATGATGGTGTTGAAACAGAAGCAATATTTGATTTTAACAAGCTAGCAGCTGAAGAATATACCTTAATAAATGCTAAACAAATAGTGTATAACATACGTCAACAAAATATAAAACCTTTTGAAGAGATTATCTGAAAATGTTAACATTTTATCACCAAATTATACAATAACCTATTCATAAATATATATATTTAAAAAAACGAAAATAATTACATGACAGGCCCGTACGCCCATTCTTAACTGGAAGGAAGATTCTCATTTGTGAGATTAAAAGTCAACATATATTGTCGAAGCGCAATCAGCATGCAAAGCATGGTAATGCTACAGGGATCTGGGGGCATGCACCCCCAGAAAATGTGTAAAAGATAGGCTATGAGATTAAATCTGGAAGCAATTTTGCATGAAATATAGCTTAAACAATTGCACAACTGTTCACATAAAATCCACAAACATCCAATAAAAAGCCAATAAACCATCATTCTCTTGTAACACTGCATTGTGAGATAGAAAACGCTTGTGTGAGTTTTGATGGAATACGTTTCTCAATTGATAATTCTTGCTATATATGTGCATCAAATATGGAGGAAAAGCTACTAATAAGGTGGTCAAGAAGATGAATGGTTAGTGTTTTCTTAAAGTAATCCTCCACGGAACTATATTCTGCATTCGCACGTTGGGCTTGGCGTTAACTAACTCGTAGCATGCTGCCAGGTCAGAAGGGTGGAAACAACTACTAATGATTAGATTTAAAAACAGCTAGAGACAAAGGTTAAATACCATTGTATAGAGCATACTATAAACTACGTACGTCAATGGTGTTAGGAGTAATTTATAGTTTTATGAGAAAGTGGTTAGATATAACTTCGGCAGAAATGAACAATGGAATTTAGTGAGAAGTTTAGAAGACCTAAAAACAAACCACAGATATGGGAATTTTTTTAGAGTTTCTCTAACCGTTCTTTTTATTTCTAAAAATGTCTTCGTGTTATATTTCTTTGAGAATTATGGCAATTTCCTTCAATCATAAAATATCAGGTGAGCTTTATTAGGTTTAAAGAGTGCAATGGTAAAGACAAAATCTTACCGTGACTCTAATCTTTATACCTCGAATAGTATTGTTAACTTTAGTGTATTCACACAATTCTCATACCTAATTAAAAAACTGAATTTATAATTCATTGAAAATAAAGTATATTTATTCTATATAAAACGATTTCGACCAAGATTTACTGTTGGAAAAATACTGTCATCTGGACTTAATGAAACCAATAAATCGTAGACAGTTTATGCAGCGTTTTTTTACGACGTATAGTCGCACTCATGACAAGTGAAATTGGTAACACGAAGCTCCAAAAGAAATAAGTTAATCAAAATTCATCAAGTTGAAACTGACTGGATATATAAAATGGAACTTTATGATCTTAGTTAATAACAACTGAAATTCTAAGATGAAATAATAATGTTTTTTCTAAAAAGTGTGCCTCACGATATAAAAAGTGTAGAAATACTAATTCAAATACTATTGAGAGTTCTTAGTGAACTGTTTGGCCCAGTATGGCCAGGTGGTTAGGGCGCTCGACTCGCAATCTGCGGGTCGCGGGTTCGAATCTTCGTCCTACCAAACATTCTCGCCCTTTCAGCCGTGGGGGCGTTATAATGTGATGGTCAATCCCACTATTCGTTGGTAAAAGAGTAGTCCAAGAGTTGGCAGTGGTTGGCGATGACTAGCTGCCTTCCCACTGCTAAATTAGGGACGACTAGCGCAGATAGCCCTCGTGTAGCTTTGCGCGAAATTCATAACAAACCAAACCTAGTGAACTGTTCCACCCCATCCCCTGTATAAGCTAAAGTTATGAATTTTTGTGTGTTAATTTAGTAGAGGATTCGGAAACACGTGCTCATTGTTACACTTAAATAAGTAATACATATTGCAGTGGTTATATCATAGAAGTTTGCCTAATGTCTAAGTTCACTACCTGCATCGAGAGTGCGTGTCTAGGGGTGATACAGATAATTGTATAAATTGTTAGGAGTTTGGGGTTCTCTTTCTTGAAAGATCTGGCATGGACCCGACTCGCAATTGTTTGGTCGCTGGTTTAAATCCCGTCACGAAACATGCTCGTCCTTTCAACCATGGGGGCGTTATAATGTTATGACTAATACGAATTTACTTTGGTAAAGGGTAGTCCAAGATTTGAGAGCGAGTGGTGTTGACTAGCTGCCTTCTCTCTACTCTATCACTTCGAAATTAGGAACGGCTAGCTTTAGTAACTTTCCTCAACAAACAAACAAGCAATCTTCTACGAACGTGCTATTTGGAATTGGGACCTAGTTAACCAATGTACTATGGGATACAGTCAGGGGTGTCACACCATCTCGACTTTGAACATTATCAAATAGCTTATAAAATAAATTTCTAGTATTTCATTTCTGGAACGCCATATTTATTGAAAAATAATACAATATCTAATGACTCTCAAATACTTAGCTTCCACTTAAACTCAACATTATTCATCAGTTTAACATTATTCCAATCTATAACATGTTCAGGGGATATTTCACTATAAAAGTGAAGAAGAGCGTAATCTGTGAAGTGAAACGTGGACTCTATCTGCTGAAACAAAACGATAGTTGGCAACATTCTAAATATGTGTTATATACGAATGATAAAGGTCAGCTCCATAGAAATAAGGTTAATGAGGAAGTATTGGAACATGCAAAGATAAAAGACAACTGCTGTACATAAGTAGGAAATGTAAGATAGGCTAATTTAGGCATACAATTAAACTTGAGGGAAGGTTGGCGGAGATTATGATGGGTAAAGTCAAGGAAAGAAGAGCAAAAGGTAGGCAAAGACTCACTTGGATCGATGAGATCAAAAAATTGGATTGAAGATAAAAAGTTTGAATTTGGAAAATCGTCGCAGACAGCAAAGTAAGAGAACATGAAGAACCATAGTCGTCAACCCTCAGACACCATGGTTAATTGATTGAATTTCCTAATATTATCCAGTGTTTGTCAGCAACTTACACCACCATAAAATATGATATTTCTATGTACTAAAATAGCCTACCTTGCTTGCAATAGTTCTTACCTTGCCATTCCAAAAAATTAAACCAGTGTCATTAGTGGTCGAGAAGATGAAAGACAGATGTGTGTGGAACAAGTTGAGATTATCATAACCTTGATCGAAAATATGAAGATAGCTCTCTCCTGAAAAACTCGCTACATCAACTTCAAGAGCTAAAGGATTTTGAACATTTTGAAATTAAAAATCATTTATAGAAACTTCAAAATAAACTACTTAAGAAGAAAATAAAAAATTAGGAGTAATGATCAGAAAATGCATTACTTTTTATAATTTATGATAGTAGAATATACTAAGTGTATTACTACAATTATTTTAGGAATATTTTGAAGTTCCTTGTTGTTAATGTTCTCAATATATTTTATAAACCAGTTAAATGAAGAGAAAACTTTGACACTTATATATTTATGCCAGTATAACTAGATATGACTTTTGACATAAAGCCGTATGATGTATCATGCCTAAGCTTGCAAAAACAAATATTTTAATTAATATGCTATCATGATAAAACTGATAACAGTTTTAAACACGCCATTCTTAACTGGGCAGATAGATGTCTTATAAATAACTTATTTAGATATTATTTCGCCTAATTTTTTGTGTGGCATAACAAAGCTATATGGGAGATTTAGGGTATTTAGCTAAAGGTTTCAATAACAGTTACCACCAACAAAGCACAGGTGAAATGTTGATATACATTTTTACTGGAAATCCATATTATACCAGTAATAATTTTTCTCATACAAGCAGACAGTTGAGTCCCAAACAGACTGACAGTAATTACTCGCTAATAACAAAGTCAAGTTATTAATGCGAAATGAAAAAAAAAGGAAAGGAAAATACTCAATTTTAACTGATGTATTGTGTTTTATCTTTAGTGCTTACTATTTATGCAGTTTTTTCACCTAACTCAGTAGCCAACTTCCATATGAACTCAAAATCAAATACATTGTCTTTTAAATTATTAGGGCCCACCAATGTACATATTTGTAGAACACTCCATCTATTGTCCTACGTTCTTTTGCATAATTGTCCTGGTTAATGTATGCCGAACATCCTTCCTGATTCTTGAATGGAACATTTAAATAATGATTCAAATGCAGTGTTACGACAGCGGAAGTCACGTGACACGGGGAGCATGCGCGCTGGAGTTTCTCGAAGGATCATGAATTTGCCCGGCAACTCTAGTCTGATCGAGCTGCCCTCTTTTTTAATATATAAGCCTGGCGAGAAAAACCAGCGGCATCGAAGATATAGATTGAAGAGATAGATAATTGAGTCAAGCGAACAGTAGGCACCGTAAGTAAAGAGTGTGAATTACTGTCATTTATAGCGTGTGTTATAAAGGCTGTTAAGTTTAAAGTGACTGTGGAAATTCTGTGTATTACAAAGTTGTATGGAGAAATAATAAACTAGTTTTAATTTCGATGACGAGGAACCCACTTTGAGACTAATAATGGTTGGAAACGGCTTGAATGGGTAATGAAGAAAAACTTTAATATAAGTTTTTCTTCATTACCCATTCAAGCCGTCTCCAACCATTATTAAACTAGTTTTAATTAAGAAAGGACTTGTATCGCCGAAGTTCCTCGGAAAGAATTTATACCGGAAATTAACAAATGAGCAGATACCTAACAAATTGGTGTCAGAGAGTGGGACAAAAAAAAGAGAAGTGGCAAATCAAACTACGACTTAGCAGATATGATGGCAGCAATACAAGAACGACTAAAGAAACAAGAAGAACGAAAAAGAAACAAGAAGAGAGATTACAGCAGTTGTTGGAAGAAAAGAAAAGAAAAAAGAAGAGAGATTACTGCAGTTGTTGGAGGAAAAAGAAAAGAAACAAGAAGAGAGATTACAGCAGTTGTTGGAGGAAAAAGAAAAGAAACAAGAAGGGAGACAACAGCAGTGGCAGCTCGAACAGCAAAATAAACAAGAAGAAAGTATCTAACAGTTGAGAGAAAGCCAGCATACACGAATGGAATAGATTAGTAAATTTCAAAGTGAATCAAATACATTAAAGGACGACTTGCTGTCTTTTACACAGGGAGGATATATTAGCCATCGACCTAATCAGCCCCAGACAACAGGAAGCCCCTTCCAGACCCCGCAGCTACACCCTAATGCAGACATCTTTAGTCCTGCCAGAAGTCACATTCCAGACATGAGTGTCAACAATAGGGGTCATCTTGTACGAAGAAAGCCACAGGAATTCGATGGGAAGGCACCATGGGAAGCCTATAGAGTACAATTTGAGCTCCTAGTAGAAATGAATGGATGGACAGAGGAGCAGAAAGCAGTGTACCTGGCAACGATCTTGAAGGGCAACCACTGGACATACTTGGACAGTTGTCAGCAGACGACAGGCACAACTATAGAGCACTGGTAGCTGCTCTAGAACTCAGGTATGGAACCGAAAATCAGTCTGAAGTTTACAGGGCTAGGTTTATGACGAGAGTCCGAGCTAAAGAGGATAGCCTGCAAGAGCTGGCACAGGATTTTGGAAAGTATGGCACACAAGGCCTACCCAACTGCACCACCCGATCTCCT